AGACGACGCTCTGACCAGTCTTCCTCCACAGCCAACCCTTAACACAGTTTACCACCAGTGACTCCATGCATAATTTGAAGTCAGGACAAAGGATAATGGTCACATCTTTGCTCACGTCACTTCCTACTGCGCCAGTTGAGAACCTGTCTGGTTCATGGCTGGATGCAGGAGGACATGGGAGGACAAGTACACCACACAATACTACAGCCATAGTCAACTTGGGCAGCTCCAGAAGATCCGCTTTGCCCCATCACCACCCATCACCCTGTCCCGGCGGTACAGCAAGTCTTGTTCAGCTCCACCGCGTGCCAAGCCCTGAGCTATACTGTGCCCATGCTGGGAAGCAGGGACTCTCCGTCCACCACCACCACCTCGTGCCAAAACATGGGCAGTCCCTACGCCACACCGAGATGGGATGTCCTGGGACGAGTCACCACTGCAGTGCCCTCCACACGGCACCGTCCGATGCTGTCTCCTGGCTCACAACACCACCACACCGCAATTTCACTTGGTGTTTCTTAAGCTCATTGGCGTGACGGAAGCCTGGGCTCCAAGGCACGTTTTACTCTCACCCTCCTTTGGCAGAGATTTTTAGCAGAAGCCTTAAGTGACTGCCCATGGCTGAAAAGCCAAGACAAGCTTGAGAAATGTTTAGATTGGCAGTTCGAAAAGACTCTTGCAATACAGAAGCTTGTTTCAATTTGCTTTTTGCAGATTCACAGTGGTTTTCTGCTTCTCCTTCACCTGTCAGTGCTAGAAATGTATCTTTTACGCACTGCAAGCGGAGGTCTGCAGTATTCCCAGGACTCCAGGAGGTGGAACTCCAAGAACAACAGTAAATATCAGATTTCTTCTCCAGATGGCAACACCGCACTAGACAGAGGGAGGAAATGTTTTAGTAACAGCAGCTCTCTGCCAAGATAGTTTTGAGGAGCAGAATTCAGACGCACCCTTAACAACCAGATTTTCATGAGTGTTGCCGTGGATTACTGTCCGAGCAGTCTGCAGAGCAGTAACATCACTCAGACCTTCTCTGGTAGATTCTGCATCAAGTCTTTCGATGGCAAGTGCAGAGGCGACCTGTGCAAAGACACCCTGCTGCTGCAGACACCGGCGTTGCCCCAGGCGTGTGCCGGCCATCAGTAACACGGGTGATGTCTGGTGGACAGCATCTTTCGCTAAGGGCTGTCAATCTGAGAGCATCCTTCACAGCTGGATTTTTCAGAAAGCACTGTGTATCCAGAACACCAGGCTGCTTTAAGACACATCTCTCAGACTGAGGGACTGACACATGGAGATATTATTTCCACTGAGGTCACCCTCTGTAACGAACTGCTTGCACTGAACAGGCACTTCATGTTAATAATTAATGCTGGAAACTGCCTTCTAAATTTTAGTTCAGCAATTCAGGCAACAACAGCTTTATGTCCACTTGTTAGGACAAAGCCATGCAACTTAAATAAAGAGTAGACAATGCTGGCTTTTGTAAAGTGCAAGGATCAGTTTATTCCACGCAGGTAAAAAACCCTGAACCTGTCCTCTGAACAGAAAGTCTAAGCGTCTCTACAGCGCTGCGAAGAAATACAAAGGGATACGAGAGCAGTGTATCTTTAAATCTTTAAGGGAAAGGGGGCAGGTTTTTTTTTAAATTTTTTTTTTTTTTTTTTTACTATTCTAAATCAAATAATATCTAATAGACCTAGTGCTGGGTTTAGTCAACCATGGCTTATAAAATTAAAATTCTGGTTGCTAGCTGCGTGGTAGCAAAAGGCCGGGGAGACCCTGTCTCTGGAGCACGGAAACGCTGGCTTTAAATTTCAGGTTAAACTAATGTTATTCACAACTTGGCATCAAAGTTAAAGCTTTACGCAGTTTTGGTCTGAAGGGGGTGATGAAAGGGAGTGAAATGATCCAAGACGTGGTGTGACCTGGAAAACGTTCTTGGCGGCGGCAGTGCAGCTTGCGCGTTGTTTACACACCCGGAGATCAGGCGTCTAACGAGACCCCTCCGTATTTAAACACGTCCCGGGGGGCGGCTCGGGACGGGACAAACGGCCATGTGTCCCCAGCGCCAGCTCACAGAATCACAGTCACCTCCTCGGCTGCCCTTCCTCCCCGCGCAGCGAGGCAACATCCCGGGCACCTGCCACCAAAGCATCCCGAGGAATGCGAGGAAGAGGAGGAGACCTCTGTCTGCAAGGGAAATCTGCAGACAAACACCAGACCGGAGAGACCCAGCAGCGAGCCAGCAGATGAGGTGCCTTGCTGCACGGCGCTGGGCGATACGGTGGGAGACAAAATCCCGTGGAGAAGGTGGTGGGGCTCCAGAGGGGCTTCAAACCGAAGACAGGGATCTGGGACGGTGCTGGAAGCCCCGGAGGGCTGTGTGCCCCCCACCGCCCGCACACCTCTGCTGGGGTCTCCACACGATGTCTCCAGGACCCAGGGTGGGATTGGCCTCGGGTATCCTCCCAGCGCAGCCGGGCTGTGCGGAGATGAAGGAGCAAAGCACGCAGGGTTTGCCGCCGGGGAGGGAGCCAGGCAGCCGTGGGGCAGGGCTGGGATGGCTGTCGCTGCCCAGAGGACCCAGCACCTTGTGAGAGGCATCTGGGAACTGCCCCAACCTGACCTGCCCTCGTCGTCGCTCCCTCTCCGCATCCCGTGAACGAAGGGAGAGCTTGTTCTTCCTCACTGTGCTTCCCAAACTCGAACAAACTGCAGGTAAGTGCTGCATTTCGCTGCACAAGTACAGGGCTTTCTGTACACTGCACATGACACCTGAAAGTTCCTGAAGGTCTCTGGGATGCGTTTGGCTGTTAGACATTATATAAATGTGAGATAATTACCATTAGCATTATGCATTGTTTGAATGCACTAGAATATCTTCGATAATTAAAATACTGTTGGCAGGTCTGAAACACTTTGGGTTATAAATAGGCTCCAGGGAGTGGTAAAAACATTTTTCATATAATCAATGCATCCACCTAGGAGGGTTATGTTTTGTTGACAGTAGCACTACGTGTGTACCTACCCACCCTGCAGAACAATTAGTTCCGAGCCCAATGGCACCTTTCCAGAAATGCTAATGAAGAGCACAGATACAGCACTCTACACAAGAGAGGACATTCTTCTCAGACAAATGTTTCATCCCTTATCTCTAGCAGATCATGTAGACGGGACAAGACGGTGCTGCGAGGTCACAACTTTCTGAACACCCTCGGAAGCAATGCGGTCCCGTCCCGGCGCGGGTCCCGAAGCGCCGTGTCTCCTGGGGATGCCTCAGCAGCCCCTGCGCCCAGACCTGCCCCGAAGCCCCGGGGAGAGCCCCTGCCTCCCGCGCTCTGCCCTCACCAAGCTCCGCATGTGCGGGACCTGCTCCGGCTTCCGGCTCCGTCTTCCGGGCCGGTCCCAGTCCACCCCAGGCACCCAGCCCCGCTCCGGACACCGGCTTGGCTCCTCTCCGGTGTGACCCAGCCTGGGATCCACAGCTGCGGGACTCACCACGTTGGGTACATCTTCGCACGGGGCAGAGTGCCAGGGACACCACGCCAGCTCCGAATTCACTGGCGGGCTCTTGCTAGGTGCGGGGAAGAGCAATCACTTCTCACTCCGAACTGCATGGGCTCCTGCTTCCCCGACTGCATCCCACCCAGAAAAACGGCCCACGGTTTCACAGCAACAGCTGGCACTCTTCTGAAGAAGGTGGTCTGACTTGGAGGTGATGTTAATATGACACCCTAGCAAGGATCTTCTGTGGCTAGCCAGAGTCCGAACAGCCTAGCAAGAGTCAGGCGCAGAACAGATCCGCCTCTGAGAAGAGGTACCATGCATGGTCTGGCTGACAAAGGGCTGCCTAAATTGTGTGGATAGCATCCAGAAATGCTACGTCTTCGTTAATTAAGGAGGAAGGTATTTTCTGAAGGCCTAAGCAAATGGCAAGATCAGTTTGAAGATTTTGTTAAATTGTGATCTCACTTTTTTTAGCTCACTTTTATGGTTGAATACTTGTCCATGACACATCTTCTGAAACAGCAGAAGAACACCTAGAATTGCTAAGTACGCCTACAATAGATTTTCAGCAATACTCACCATGTAACTCACTTGACTTAAAACAGTGTTTGCCTTATACATTTTTAAGACTATGGGCCAAAATAAGAAAAACAAATGAGCCTAGAAGCTATCTTCACAAAACACTAGAGCATATGTAAAAGACCTAAAGCTTAGCATTAGAAAAAAGAGAAAGATCAACTCCACCTTGTCTCATTTTATTCAGAGGGGGACAACAGCACAATTTAGCTACCGGGTTGTGAAGGGTCACTGTGCACTAGTGCAGGATGGACCCTCCCCTGGTCTAACCGAGCGCAGCTCCACTCGAGGATCTCAGCCAGCTGACAAGCGGCTGAGAAATTGGTGCCATCCGCAAATTCAGCTGGAATAATATTTCCAGTGTTATTAGTAATAATGATGTACCATGAAGCGCACACCTCCACGGTACATCTGTCTGATGTGGTTATTCTGCAGAAAAAGAGAATTGTCTGTTTTCAGGTTTTCAGGTTGTTTTCTTTTTCTAAACAACGTGGTTTCACAGGGTTAATCAAGGTGGTAAATAGCTAGTACCATGAACAGCCCATATTCATAAAGGACATGGTTTCTGTCTCTAATTCGTACTGTCCAACTTCATTACCTGGTATCATACTTAATTACTCCACCTTACAGGGAAATGCAGGCTAATTAGGAAGGATGTTATTCACCACATTTAAAACATTACGAAGCAAATGAAATATT